AACGTATGTAAATGGAAGAACGCGTAGCTTACCGGTGCTAAGAAGAGAGGGAGAGAGGCCTAAGGGGTCTATGGGAAACCGGGAGATGGACAAAACGGAAGCGGACTGTGCCTATGAGGAGTTAGCTAATCAAATATCTAAGATGACGGCTGAGGAAGCAGCGGTATTTTTACGTTCTCCTATTAAGCGCTACAAGGCGAAGCATAGAAAGGCGGGAAGGATAAAAATTAAGGAATTAATTAATCAGGCTAGGAAGAATACTGAAGAAATGAAGGGAACAATTCAGGGATTAAACTGCATTGTCATGTTGCCTGAAGCCGAAGCCGATGTAGACAGACATAAACCGATTGTGGGACAAGGTCGCATGATATGCGCTATTTTAGAGCGGTCGGCGACTCCAGCGGATCGAAAGCGGAAGGAGAACTGTCTGTGGGATCAAGGGACGCATGAGGACAAGGAAGAATCACCCTGGCCTAATGCCATTCTGGAATTTACGGAATTTGACAAGTGGATGGAAGGCGTAGAGGCCCGTAGCTTACCGGAGCAAGTTCTTCAACTATTGAGACAATATCGGCTTCTGTTCCCTGATAGCCTCCCGAATGGACTTCCTCCTAAGAGGCCCTTTGACCACCGGATACTTCTTATTCCTGGAAAGTTACCAACAAAGGCACCTATCTATAAAATGCCACCAGATCATCTGATTCATCACTCTCAGGAAATCGAACGACTCTGCGCAAAGGGATGGATAGGCCCAACTTACTCCCCAATTTGCGCTCCGACAATTATGGGGGAAAAAAGAGATGACGGATCAGGGGAAAGGAAGATGCGCATGGTGATTAACTATCAAGCGTTGAATGCATTAACTATTGCGACTGAATTTCCCATGCCGTGTGTGCAAACCGTTATGGAAATGATAGGGGGAGCAACGTATTTTTCAACTTTAGACCTAGAAGCAGGTTTCCACCAAATAAGAATGGCGAGAGAAGACAGATGGAAAACTGCATTTAGATCAATTCAAGGACTATTCGAATATAAGGTCATGCATTTCGGTCTAAAGGGGGCGCCAGCCACTTTCCAAGCTAATATTAATGCATATCTTCAACCTTTACTCGGCCATGGGGTAACTGCGTATATACATGATGTACTAATATATAGCAAAACTTTGGCGACGCATGTTCGGGTGTTACAACAAGTCTTTGCTATATTTCTTAAAAACCAATTTTATCCGAAGTTGGTAAAATGTAGATTTGCCCAACGGGAATTAACTTATTTAGGCTATACGATAGGTACTGAGGGAATTAAGCCTGTAGCAGATAAAGTGGAAGCCATCAATTTGTGGCCAGAAAACCTTACCAACGAGACGCAGGTGCGTCAATTTCTGGGCACGGTTAATTACTGTAGGATGTTTATGGGGCCGATATATGCAGATCTCGCCCGCCCCTTAGTGGAACTTACGCGCAAGAACGCGCCCTCTGTTTGGACGGAAGAACACAACAATGCGGTCCGACAACTCAAGCAGCGTCTTTCAGAGTTCACGATCTTGCAAGTACCGGATCCTACTAAACCCTTTATCCTTTATACAGATGCGTCGGGCTATGCCATTGGCGCCGTACTTGAGCAAGAAAACAAACCTGTTGGATTTCTTAGTCAGGTAATGACACCGGCTCAACAGAAATATTCTATATACGACCAGGAATTGTTGGCTCTTATATCCGCATTAGACAAATGGAGGCATTTACTTCGAGTTGCGAAGGTTACGGCGTATACGGATCATCAAGCCCTCACCTTCCTTCAACGTTTAAATTCTCAGAAGCCGTTGCGGGGCCGAACGGCGCGTTGGTTGGATTTCCTGGCTGAGTTCTCAGACCTCACGATTACCTATTTACAGGGAGCGAAGAACAAGGTCGCAGATGCAATGTCTAGGCATCCTCAGCATACCAATGGGGAACCCAATAGACTAGACAATATATTAGCTCCTATTGTTCAACAGCAAGAGGAACCGGCTGCGCAGCCTCGCTATTCGACTCGGTTAGTTACGGGATCGGCGCCTCACCCTGATTTCAGGGCAATGATAGGACGGCGTTTGGCTTTGAGGAACCAAAGGAGAGGGGGAGTTGAGTCGCAACAGCCAGCGGGGTCGGCTGATGTGAGTGCAGCCAAGTCGACGCAAGTTTCATCTAGCTCGAGCGGTTTAATACGTGACAATTCAGCCGCGTCAGTTTCGTCAGTTGACGAGCAACAGAGCTCGCTCACGACCGCAGAGATTCTCGCTGAAGCCCCTTCGGCACCTGTGCATTTATCGCCCCAGCGTTGGCGGGAGGCTTATGAACGTTGTTCGTCTTTCAGGGATATTGCGGCGGTAGCAATGCGTAACGGGGACGAAGAGTTTGTGCATCGATTGCAGGGTCGTCGTTATTCGTTTAAATTTAGGAATCCCTACCTCTATGTGCGTATTAATGGATTATGGCGTATTTGTCCACCTACGTTACCAGAGTTTCTTTCCTATATTTTATATTGTCATCACGACCATGTTACTGCAGGTCATCGGGGCATGCGCAAGACCTTCCTTTCTATCAGCAAGTTATATTACTGGCCGGGAGTGAAAGCATATACAATCGCGTATGTCGAGTCGTGTGTGCAGTGTAGAGCCTCGAAATCGATATCGCAGAAGCCGGCGGGGCTACTTCAACCTCTATTCATTCCTTCTCGACGATGGAGTCATGTTAGTTTAGATTTTATTACCGACTTACCTCTCACTCCGCAGGGTCACGATTCTATTCTCGTTATTGTCGACTCACTCAGTAAGATGGCGCATTTTATTCCAACAAAAAAGCCAGCATCAACGGAGGACATTATAGAAATTCTGGCGGATAGATTAATTCGGTATCATGGGTTTT